CTTTTTAGCTTTTTTGTTTTAGTTAGACCAGTAGAGAGCTAGCCAGACTGAGAGAGCTTGCATCCTCTGATTCACTCCCGGGTGCCTATAGCAACCCCCAACTCTGGCTGAAGCTGGTAGCCAGGAGCTCAAGCATTAAGTGCCCAGAAGTAGAAGTGGCACCCACATGGGATGCCAACACCACGGGTATTAGATTAGCATGCTAAGCCGCTGTGTAGCTGAAGCTTTGATTTTGTGGTCTGCCCCAGAGATAGCAGAAAGGAAGGGAACGAATTATGTTACCAGGGCCAAGTTTTCAATAGTGTTTGGAGGGAGAAGCTGACCTCATCTGTTAACCTTAGTTGACAAGGTCAGCTGCTGACTGTAATGGGACTGCTGGTATGCTGGGGACTTGACCTTCTGTTTACAGAGTAGAGCCATGGAGAGAGGCTAAAAACAAGGAGTTGGCGTTATTTGATTCCCAGCTATTTCTTCAGAATAATGGTGACTTTTTAAGGAGTTGTGGAACTTTGAGAATCTGATTGAACCTACGGGCCTGTCATCAGAAAAATGTCCTTTTGTATTAGAAAAATGTACAGTACCAGGGTTCCAAAGAAATCTCTCAGGGCCCTAAGAATATGGCTGTAGAGGTACGCAACTGTGTGTGTTACGTCATGGTGGTGGAGCTCACCACCAGTTTACATCTGGCCCTGATTGTAAAGCCCCAGGGAGATTCCGTAAGCCTTGGCATCTACACACCCAGGATCTGTTCCTGTCCCTGAAAGGGACATTGAGAACTCATAGCAACTTCCAAATGCTACATATTCAAGAAGGCAATTATCAAACCGTCTCTTAATGAAAAGCTTGTCATATAGCAGACATACGGATTCAGGCAGACATATAAATTGGGATCTTGGGAGCCCATCTGTCACTTTCTAGCCTTGATTTTTTTTTCATTTTAATGTATTTGATGGGATCAATGGAGTGGCTTAATGGGGTAATCCCCTGTGTTTGGCATCAGTATCTCACATGGGTGCTGGTTTGAGTCCCCAGCTGCTCCACTTCCTATCCAGCTCCCTGTTTGCAGCCTGGGAGCCCAGAGGATGGGTCAAGTTCTTGCAAGGGCCCCTGCAGCCACATGGGAAACCCTTAGAGTGGCTCCTGGCTTCAGATCAGCTCAGCTGCAGCCATTGCTGCCATTTGGGGAATCAAACAGTAGATAACCTCTCTGTTTTTTGAAATCTGCATTTCAAGTAAAAATATGTCTTTTTAAAAGTTTGATTTACTTGAAAGCAAAGTTACAAAGGGAGGAAAAAAACATTTCTGTTCGTTGGTTCCTGTTCTTGCACAGGAGCCGGGAACACTGTCTAGCTGTCCCATGTGGGTGACAGCGGGCCAAACACCTGGACATCCTGTCCTGCTTTCCCATACATATCAGCAGTGATGCATATCACCAGTACAGCAGCTGGAACTGGAACCAGACGCTGTCCTTGCAAGCAGTGGTCTAATGTACTACATCACAGTGCCAGCCGCTGTTCAATCTTTCTGATCTTTTCTATTTAATCGTTTTGCTTGTGTGAAAAGGGGATAACTCTCCTGTGTTGCAGAGCAGTGGAAACAGTCATACTGTGTGTAAAATGCCTGACCCACCCGTGTGTTTGTATTAGGCAGCAGTGTTTATGGTGCAGGCTTACAGTAACATCTGCTCCTTGCATGATCTGTGTCACAAAGCTCTTCAATGCCTGCTCCCCAGTCTGTTCGGCTTGATGGCTTCCTTGTGACCACCGTGTGCCTGTGAGCACTGCAGTGCCCTGGCCCTTCAGTTTGAAAATGGCTAAATAATATGGCTTAAATTTGTATATTGAATTAAAACAGCAATAAGTAATGTACCAATGTTGCTGCTTGTCTCTAAATTTACCTTTTAAGTAATAGATCTGAATTAAAGATTCACAGATAGATTGCAGTTGTCAGTTATAATTAGCTCCAATTGTAATATTTGAATAGTATTGATGATTCTGAAAATTCAAAGGAAGTGTCAAATATTAACCTGGTGGGTGATTTTTATTTCTTCTTTATGCAGAAATTATGTCTCTTTTTTTCACTTTTTGTCTCCTTCCTGTACAACCTTTGCTGATAAAATCCACTTAGCATGAGCAGGAAGGTGTGTAGAAAGCACATGCATTGCAGTTGTTCCCTTTGAAGAAGTGGATCTTCATAGGCAGTGTATTCTAAGGTAGCCTTTGCTTGGTCCAGAGTGTCCTCCACAGGGAAGAGACCAGGAAGAAGCTAATTGTAGGCTAACCACATGCACGCAGTGTGTCCCCAGGATTTTCTTCTTCTTAAGTAGGGAATATTTTTATATTTTAAGCAGGTGTTTAAGCTGTGGGCCACTACAGTGGAAGGTGTATTTGTTTCTGAGTGTTTTCAGTTGACATCCTTCCTCTCCATTTTAGGACACTTGGTGGGGTTCCCACACAGGCTCCTCCACCTCTTGAATCAGCCTCGTCATCACAGATCATCTGCCCGGATGGAGTCACCTCAGCCAACTTCTACCCCGAAACCTGGATTTACATGCACCCGTCTCAGGACTTCATCCAAGTGCCTGTTTCTGCAGAGGACAAAAGTTACCGAATCATTTACAATCTTTTTCATAAGACTGTGCCCGAGTTCAAGTATAGAATTTTGCAAATATTGAGAGTCCAAAACCAGTTTCTTTGGGAGAAATATAAAAGGTGAGAAGAATGAGAATTTTCCTTAATGTAGTTAAATGTCAAATACATGATAAACATTCACATAGGATTTAATATTTTCATCTTTTTCCATATATATTTGCTCTTATTGTTCTCATGTATAAATAGGCGTTTTGTAACTTCTATTTTACGGAAAGGAAGTTGAGCCACAGAAAATGTGGGTGATTTGGCAGAGATCTTGTAGCTAATAAGAAAGGTGCTGGAATCTCAGCGCAGGCAGCCCGGCAGCAGAGGCCTCTAATCCCCTTCCTGTGCTGCCTCTCAGGTCAACAGATTAGTGTAGCACGGAGGATTATGTCAGACCTGCTCGGATTGGAGAGCTTCCACAGAGCATCCTGAGGAAGGTAAGGTGTACGAAGAGGATACGGAATGGAAGAGAAACCGAGGCAGTGACTGGTGGCAAAGGAAAGAGAAGGGCGTTGAGTTGGAAGATGAGAGTTCAAGGTTCTAATAAGACCTGGGATTCTGCCTTTGTTAGCTCCCTCAGTGTTTTCTCCATTATGAAAAGGAGTTTAAGACTGTGACATGCCCATTAAATTGAATGTAATCCTGTCCACTTTTTGTAATAGGAAAAAGGAATACATGAACAGGAAAATGTGTGGCCGTGACCGAATAATCAACGAGAGGCATTTGTTTCATGGGACGTCTCAGGACGTGGTTGACGGCATCTGCAAGCACAATTTTGACCCTCGAGTCTGTGGGAAGCATGCTACCATGTTTGGACAAGGCAGTTACTTTGCAAAGAAGGCGAGCTACTCTCATAACTTTTCAAAGAAGTCCTCCAAAGGAATCCATTTCATGTTTCTGGCCAAAGTCCTGACGGGCAGATACACGATGGGTAGTCACGGCATGAGGAGACCCCCTCCGGTCAACCCCGGCAGTGTCACCAGCGACCTCTATGACTCCTGTGTGGATAACTTTTTCGAGCCCCAGATTTTTGTCATTTTTAATGATGACCAGAGTTACCCTTATTTTGTTATCCAGTATGAAGAAGTCGGTAACACTGTTTCCATTTGAAAAATCGTGGTACTGCTAAATTATTTGGTATGAACTCAATCCAGCATTTGTAGCAGGTTTCGGATCGGTGGGATTGGGTGGAGAAGAGCATTGGGCATGAATAGGGCACTTTTCAGACCCATTTTTTTAAGTGCTAGAAAATAATTTTTTTTTTGAAGAAAAATGAGTTTTAAAATGATCACTTATGCCATAATTATTTACTAATTGTTAGTGCATTCGTGCGGAGAGGACTGAGATGACACCCTCTTTTCCTTCACATTTGTACAGAGAGGCAGGAGTACTGTTAGAAGCATAAACAGCTGGACAGCCTAACTAATGAAATGTGGTTTGGACTAGGTAGAAGTTTGGCCAAGTGAAATGGAAGCTATCAGCAAAGTGAGGATTCCATTTATTTACATAGATATCTGACTGGAAATAGTACGCCAGACTTAGTTCCCATCCAGCAGCATATCACTGTTTTGGTGTATTATCAGTTAAAATTGTAGTGGGTGGAAAAAAAAATTTTGTGTTTACTTTTTTGAAATACATCACCTGATTAGAGAGTGTCAGTAACTTTAACTGTTCCGGTTGAGCGTTCCTGAATTCAAAGTTCTGTGTAGAGAACATTAAGGGAAAGAAAACACTATTTGAAAAAATTTCTGTCACCAGCAAGATTTTTCTTTAGTTACATGAATTGTTAAACTTCAGCCTTGGAAAGCTCATCCACCTTAGTTTGAAGGAGTCGGGCAGCTAATTTGTTAAAGCCAGTGTTGAGGATTCTTTGGGTTTCCAAACCCTAGCCCCTGACTGAAAGTTACAACGTTCACAACCAAATAAATACAGTTTATTAATGTGCTAGCACAAGGTAGATTCTCAGAAAGATTTGTTGAGTTGAAGTTATTGTTAAAGTTGGTCATCCCACCCCCATGCCTGCTTTGCCAGAGGCAGCCGGTTCTCTGGCTATCTTACACTACATACTGAACAGAAACACAGACTTGGGAATGTGCCACTGGCCCAGCTGGAGCCCTGTGAGTCAATGTGCTGCTGCCTCAGTTAGGGGACAGCGGCTGGGGGCCTTCATCCGCAGCAGAGCAAATAGCTGGATTCATGGACGTAGTGCTTGTTCGCGGGAATTCACAGGATTCCTTCAATCCTAAGCTCTCCTCATCTGTTGTGGCTATATCTTTCGCCCAGAATCTTAGGAACTTCTGTGTTGTTTAAAGCAAGATCTTTCTGTACTGGGGCCTCAGTGGATCGATCTGCCAAGCACTTACCAGGGCTTCCACAGTTATTCCACCCTAGCTGATCCTGTTGTTTGCTGCCGTTGGCATGCAACGGGCAACCGCGGTTGTCAACAGTTGTTCATTCAGTTCTAACTTGAAAACCAGTGATTCCCAAACTTCAAGTTAAGACTTGCCATCGCTTCTTTGGTTTTAAGAAACTTCTTCCTGTTTTCTCCCTAAAGAAAATGAAAGCTTTATGACATATTTATTTTTTTAATAAAACTAAGCAAAAATAAAAGTTACAGTAATTCCTTAAGATTTTTGTTGTTGTCTTGCTGCCGTTTAAGATGCCTGAACTGAGCATATGGTGTGTAAATGTGGCTCGGCTGGTTAACTGCATGTTGCTTTCACTTTTTTCCCCTCAGGATAATCCACAGAAAGTATATTAGTAAGCAGTAGAGAATGATCAGAGGACAGAGTGAATCTTTTACCATGTAGATAAGTGGAGGAAATGTCAGCAAACGGCTGTGGGGAAAAACAGAAGTGAGTTGTCACCTGGAAGGTGACACCCCAAATTTTAGTCCACTAAAAGTCATGGAGCTTGTCTTGTAATGACTGTATGAACTGGTATAGTCCACGGTACTTGAGTCCTCTTCCCACCAGCCCAGCCGTAATTATGCCCGGAGAGCTGGGATTTACTCTTCATTTCCCCAGGAAAAGAGTGCAAATTCCCTGTGATATTCCAATGTCTCATCCTATACACAGCAAGGTTTTGTTTGTGCGGTTCATAAAAATGGAATCCCTTAAAATTACAAATCGAAACCCAGCTCTTATTATAAACCTGTTTGTTTTTGTAACTAATGATTTTGCACTGAAACACTAGCTTTTGAAGCAGAGCTTTTATTGTATAAGGCGTGAAAAGACTAAACGAAACAATCTATTCAAGCACCAGTGCCACATTGTTAGTTAAATCCTATACTGAATACTGTCACTTTAAGGCAAAGGGATATTTTCCTCTTTTTAGACTGACTACGAACAGTTCTTGTTTTCTTTCATTGGAATCCAACAGTTAGGAAATTCTGCATAATACCTAGAATCTCATTTATATCACTTACATTATTGCAATTGCTATGTGATTTTCAATAAATAAAACTCCTATTTTAACTATTATAACCTAGGACTAATCACACTTCACCTGCTTAGTTTTTTGCTTTTGGAAGATGACATAAAGTATGAAAACTAAGAATGTCCCAGCTTTGCAACTTTATGGTGCAGTTCTCTTCGGTGAAGGTTGATGCACAAAGCTGTGCTGCTCGGCAGTCTGGCGAGGAGGAGCAGTGAGGAGGACAAGCTCCCCATCCCCCCACCCCCCCCCTTTTTTTTTTTTAAGATCTATTTACTTTTATTGGAAAGACTGAACAGATTTACAGGGAGGAGACAGAGGAAGGTCTTCCCTCTACTGGTTCACTCCCCAAATGGCCACAATGGCTGCAGCTAAGACCATCCAAAGGCAGGAGCTTCTTCTAGGTCTCCCATGCAGGTGCAGGGTCCCAGGGCTTACTCAAGCCATAATCGGGGAGCTGGATGGGAAGCGGAGGGGCTAGGACACAAACCGGTGCCCACATGGGATCCTGGCCTGCAATTGTTTGGGTTTTGTTTGTTTTATAAACAGCTAATACTATTTATTTACAAATCAGCCCCAGATGTCCAAGTTCTAATCCCAGGAACCTATCAGTATGACACCTTATATATGAAATAAAGAGTGCTGAAATAGGGGGATGGCTTACAGCAGTTTGTTTTGAGTTTTTTGTTTCCATTTTGTCTTTGTTTTGCTATAATATACATGAGACCGAAAGATTAAAAAGAGATTCATGAATATTTAGGTCCCAGTTCTACTGGTTGGGAAATTCAAGTTCTGGAAGATGTATCTGATGAGGATCTCAGAATGTGTTTTAAAGAATGGGAGACCAAAGCTGAAAGAGAAGGGCCCTGAACTCCTGAGAAAGCCAACCCATTTCTGTGAGAAAAGCACTAATCTCTTCTGAGGGCTCTGCCCCATGACCCCGACGAGGCGCTACCTCCCACCACTGCCACACTGTAGAACCGATCTGTTTCGGTAGAGATAAACAAGTTCATATTTTAGAAGTTTGTCCTAGATAATCCCATCGGGCCCAGTGTAAATTCCTTGGGAGGGAGATGCCAGTGTCAGAAGATGCTTTGTCGCTGGTTTTGATGATGGAGGCTGAGGTCATGAGCTAAGATGCTGGGGGCCTCCAGAAAGCTGGGGAAGATAAGGATATGGATTCTGCAGGTGGCACTTTGAGGAGGAACACAGCCCTGCTTCCAGGATTGGAAAAATATTGAATTGTGTTGCTCTAAGGTACTATGTATTAATTTGTACGAGCAACAGGAAACTAATGCAAGTTGTAAAAACCATGGTAATGCTGGTGAATTGCATGGAGAATCCTCAGGAAGCTGTTCCAATAAGAGTAATCAAAAAGCACTAAAAATGTGAAAATTTCCCATGCTTGTTGAAAATTTAGACAATCTCATAAAGTCCTGAGAGCAAAACAGCTCACGCCTCCCAAGATTTGTGTTAAGTACATGCCAAAGAAAAGCCTGCCAAAGTAAGGTTGTTTGAAAGGAGTATTTAAATACTGAATAGTAATGCACTGCAGTGTCAGCCCAGGCTGACAGAGCTCATGAGCTAAGGGAGAAGACAGGTTGCTTCTTTCTAAAACCGAGACAATTCCTCCTGGAAGGGGCACTGTTCTTGGGCTGCCGCTGGCATCCAACGGGGGCACCAGTTTGAGTCCTGGCTGCTCCGTGTCCAATCCAGCACTCTGCCTGTGGCCGGGGTAGAGTCGAGGATGGCGGAAGTCCTTGGGCCCTACACCCTCGTCACTGCCCACCTCCGGCTACTGCAGCCATCTGAAGAGTGACCATCTCTACCATTCAAATGGAAGATCTCTGTCTGTTCTCTAACTGCCTTTCAAAGAATTAAAAGTAATAAATAAATGGAATAAATCCTTGAAAAGGACAGTGCACTGTGCCCAAGGACATCAAGTAGCTTCCTTAAGCCCAGCAGCAAGAGCAGAGGATTTCCTTCAGGCCCCATCAGTATTGCCAGGGGTTAGCACTGTGCAACAATGGCATTCCACATTAGTGCCACTTCAGTCCCTGTGCTCTGCTTCCAATCCAGCTCCCTGCTAATGTGCCTGGAAGAGCAACAAAAGATGCCCAAGTCCTAGTGTCTCACCACCAACGTGGGAGGCCAGCATGGAGCTCCTAGCTCTTGGCTTCAGTCTGGCCCAGCCCTGGCTGTCGTGGCCATGAAGGGAGTGAACCAGTGGATAGATCTGTCTCTCCCACTCTGCATTTCTGTGTCTTTCAAACAAACAAATCTTTTAAAAAAATTTTTATTTATTTTTATTGAAAAGACAGATCTATGGAGAGAAGGAAAGACACAGATCTTCCGTCCACTGGTTCACTCCCCAAGTGGCTGAACAGAGCTGACCTGATCTGAAGCCAAAAGTTAGGAGATCCTTCAGGTCTCCCACGTGGGTGTAGAGTTCCAAGGTTTTGGGCTATACTCTGCTGCTTTCCCACACATAAGGAACTAGATGGGAAATGGAGCAGCTGGGACACAAACCAGCACCCACCGTGGATACTGGTGCTTGAAGGGGGAGGATTAGCCAATCAAGCCAGTGTGCTAGGCCAAATAAACAAATAAATATTGGAAATTCAGATATACAGCGAGGAAGAGAGACAAAGAGGAAGATCTTCTGTGCATTAATTCACTCCTCAAGTGGCCGCAATAGCCAGAACTGAGCCAATCTGAAGCCAGGAGCTTCCTCTGGGTCTCCCACATGGGTGCAGGGTCCCAAGGCTTTGGACTGTCCTCAACTGCCTTCCCAGGCCACAGGCAGGGAGCTGGATGGGAAGTGAGGCTGACAGAATTAAAACTGATGCCCATGTGGGATCCCTGTGCGTGTAAGGTAAGGACTTTAGGTGCTAGACTAATGCGCAGAGCACATAAATCTTGACAACAAAACAGCCCCCCCAAACCAAACCAAAACAACTTTCTGTAGAAAAATTAAGATCTCTCAAACTTTATGAAGATTAACTCTAGTACTAATCAGTTTCTAATTTTTCATAGTCTGGGACCTGCCAGAAGACTGCCTTTGGAACCTGGCTTTGAGCAATGTGATAGCCCTTCATTCTTCCCTATGGAGCCCTTGTGAAGGGTGAATGAGTATGGTGTTGTTTTAGAAAGAATATATAAACTTATCTTAAATCATAAAACGAATTCTTTATCTCACAACAAAAATTCAGGTACAGTATTTCCAAGGATTCTTTCTGGTCCCTTGGCTTGCCACATGTCATTTACAACATCCAAATGTAGAAGGGATGACACTCATCTTTCTTTGCTACTTTAAAGAGTTAGCAAACCTTACAAGAGCAGCCAGTGGGCTTCCATTTATGTCTCCCTCTGCTGGGTTTAACCATCGACCATCCCTGAATCCATCTTCGACATTATGAATGCTTTAGACCAAGCAGCATTCCTTTGCCAGCCTGCGGTGACTTGTTAATGAAGTGCCCACCCCTGCTTGTGGTGGTGCCAGTGCTTACGTGGTGGTGAGATAATGATGTCCCCCATCCAGTTAGTGGTGGTGGTGACCATGATCCTAGTGCCACCACCGCTAGGAGGAAGGAATGGCAGCAGAGACAAGCAGGGGCTCCTCTCCCCAGGGACTGAGCTAGAACATGAGGCTGATCAATCTCCCATTGGCTCAGGTCCCGCTGTAGAGACTTGCATAAGAGAATAGCACAAATTTTGACTTTGAGCCCTACTCAAAATTCAATCTTTTAGCTTTGGAGTTAGAAAAGCAATAATTCAAAAACATCTATAGGCTGTTTAGCGAGAGAGAGCATCTCGCGGTGGATAAATCATCATGTATTTAGTAATGTATGTTCATGGAAAAAGAGAATACTTAATTTGGGGCTTTTGAGCTTCTAGGACTGTAAGAAATTCCTGTGATTTATAAGCCATTCAATCTATGCTAATTTGTTACAGCACTAAGACAAGCACCTGGCAGAAATTCAAGGGCGTGTCCTGGACTGTCACAAGTAGAGCAGCACGAAGAGTGATTTCATTGAGCTATTAAAGGAAAAGGTGACCTGGGAGGCCGAGAGCTGGAGCACCGGGAGACACGTGGGTAGAGTCATGCTCTAT